TGAAATCTACAGCCAGAACTATTGATTGTTCTTTCCTCCTTTCTAAAAGCATCCTACTTTAGTTCCTCTCTGAGGCCCAACCAAGATGATTATGATAACCTCCTTCTCTTGCCTGTGGTTAGTTTAAGCATGACATGTGATTCCCCATTTCCAGCTAAGAAGACTTGAGGAAGTCTGCTCAGGAATTTCTGGGAAAGGTTCCCCTCCTGCCTTTACTGCCTGCACACAAGATACTGAGAACGAAACAGCTGGAACTGTGGCAGCCATCTTGTGACCTTGAGAACAGGAAAGATGAAAAGCACCTGAGTCTTGGATGATGCTCTTGAACCACTGAAAGAAAGAACCTTGACACAGAAAGAGCCCGCACCTGTTGGTAAGAGAGATACTAAGTTCCTTATTGTTTCAGCCAGTAGTAGAGTTCAGGTTTTCTGAGGCTTGCAGCACTGATACCCACTCCAGTCAAGGGCTCTCATCACTACAGATACATGAGCTAACCATTATGGACAATATGTAACAAGTCCTATTCCCTGCCCTCATTATGCCTATCCTGAGGTTGGGTGTCCAATCAATGTTCGATCTGCATTTCATTAATTGAGTCTCCTCTTCCTCACCGGTTACATGGGACCTGTTCCCTCATACTTGGACTGTGATCTCAACATCGCTGACCGGGTCCTCTGGCATTGTCTGCTGCCACCTCTGAGGATCAAGCTAAAAGCAAGGCACTTGTGCTCAGCCGGAGAGACCATCAGCAGAAACTCCTCATTCCTAAATATTTGTTCTTTGAAATGTCTTTCTCAATTAGACCTCACCCAAATGCTTGAGAGTCAGGCTGAATTCCAACTTCCTGCTTCACAATAGACATGTTGAGCCTGCATAATTAAGGCAGCCGCTTTATTTGCTATAAAAACATGGATTTTTTTTTTTGCTCCTTCTCAACTGTAAAATAATCAATAAATAGAATCCTGATGAAAAATGCCAGCATGTAGGAGAACAACTCTTTTTTTTTTTTTTTTTTTTTGGTACCAGGGATCGAACTCGGGTCCTTGCGCTTGCGCAGCAGTCAGTGAAACCACTGAGCTAAATCCCCAGCCCTGAGAACAACTCTTTTATGATTCTTTTCTTTGGGGGCTAATTAATATATTGAGGATAAACTGTACAGTTAGATTTATTCGATAAGTGAAGTTGAAACAAACTCTCTTGCTCCTGCTGAGATACAGCTTTACATCAGAAATGCAGGCAAGACAGACAGACAAAATGTTGCAAAACATTTTGAAATCCACCACGAACACATCTGTAAACTTGTGATGCAGGCTTTCTATATGCTCTCTGCTCACATCAGCTGTTCAATTTTTTTTCCCTGTCCCCTAAGAATACACTGCCTGGTGTCTGTCAGATGAAACCTGGCTGGTCCCATGAGCAAGAGAAGCCACCTCTCGGACTTCCCTCCTTTTAAATGAAGACGTGGCTCTTTGGACAATGACCATCCATGCCATGAAAATTTCCTGAGGGGTCCTCAGAGCGGATGGCACCTTTTCAATTATGACACTGCTGTAACAAACCCCCACCGAGCCACAGGGCACACAGACTACATCCAACACAGGACGCCTATATATTCCCTAATTATACTGCAATATATTCTCTCTGTATGTACACTGATGAAGATAAAATATTCTTTTAATTCTATGGCCACCTGGGGGGAGGGGGAGGGGATTGTATACCACCAAGTCCCAGAATTCCTGCAGCTACATTGCAAACCTGACCCGGAGGCTCTCCCCTTTGCAGAGTTTTAGGGAAACAGCCAGCTTCCCCCATTCCACCACACTGGTTCTCAAAGCACAGTCCCAGACCTGCAGCAGCAGCATCTGAGAACTCTTGGGAAAGGCAGAGCACTAGGCCCACTTTAGAAAGCCTGAATTAGGAACTCTGAGGTTGGAGATCAGTAATCTGTTTTCACAGGCCCTACCCGCTGACATTCAAGAACTACTGGTCTACATAACAGGCAGAGAGTATCATTTTAACTTGAACCGGACATCAGGAATCCCTAGAATCTATAAGGGCTAGGCCCCTCTTGCTGCATTTAGGGCTCCATTTATCCATCTGTACAATGGGGCTCCAGAGCTACCGAGCAGCTACAGATGCTGGAATTTAAGAGGCACATGGTTACCTGGCACCTGTCTCTATGGATACCTGGAAAGATCACTGTTGCCAACACTCACTGGCTCCCTCCTGCTGCATGCTAACTGGAGGAAGCTCTGCAGAGCAGTTCTCCAGTGCACAGCTAAGGTCATCAATGGTAACCAGGAGCTGGGGGTGGGGCCAGAAGCCCACAGAATCTCCAAAGCTCATTGCCAGCAGCTGCCCGTCTTCTACCTCGGAGCTTTGAGCCCCTCGAGGGAAGCTGGGGGCTGTCGCTGTCTTTGCTGGACTGTCCCCCTCGGGCAGCTCTGCAGATACCCTACAGCTAGACAGCAAGCCTATGAAGCACAGAGCCTCCCATGACCACCATGAGACTCGGGACTCTTGGAGTCTGATTCGCGGCTATGTCCCCAGGGCCCACAAAGGGGTCGGTACAGAGCAGCAGTTCCAGAACTATCAGGAGACAAAATCTCCCTAGTAAATGCCCTGCCCGTAGGAAGCCCAAACACCTTCAATATCCAGGTCCTCAGCTATGGTTGGGAAGAGGCAAAGAAATGATCGAAACCCTGGGGGACAAGGAGAAACGGAAAAAGAAGCAAACGCCAGATTATTTCCAGCTGGTGCCACAACCCTCAGGCTCACAGGAGCTGACTTCCGGGGCAAGTGCCCACCCTGGAGCAGAAACAGAGGATGCCCAGGCAGGGTTCTCAGCTTGAGTTCTCATTGGCCTTGACCCTGATGCCCTTTGTCCAGCTGCTTAGCCAGTCTTTCAGCTTTCCTCCCTCCCTCCAGTTTTCAAGCCCTAGGGCCCATTCCTGCACTTGTAAATCTACCCAAGGCTCAGATCCAAACCCTCCTTTCTCGACTACCCCTCACCTGGCCCTCCAGGAGCTCTGGCATCTGAGAAACCCCCTCTTCGAGTCTGGCTGCTAGATGGCTGCTCCTTCCCTGCCGGCTCCACACTATGGAGTGGGCCAGGCTGTGGGTTCCACTTACCCAGGATGCCAGCTCAGGCACAGGCTAGGTCTGCAACCAAGGGTCATTCTTGAGTGTGCAGGGCACAGATTCAGAAAGAGGACCCAGAAGCCAGTCCTCCCTCCAGCCTCACCCTCCCAGCCCTCCAGCCTGGCTTGGTCTGCAGCAGCCTGACAGGGCACGGCTGCCTGTTGTTGAGAAAGTGGTAAAGTCAGCGTGGAGTGCTGGAAAGGGCCCTGATCTGGGAGCCGGGAGACCTAGCTGGCCTTCTCTTCCTCCCTTAGCCAGCTCTGAGCGAGTCCTCCCACTTCCCGGGGCCCCCATCTGGGTATCCGTGGAATGGGAGGGAGAAGCCTGTACCGCAGTTGTAAAGACTTCATATTTCTAACGGCTTAAACAACATTCGAGCAAAGAGAGCGCTGGTGCGTGCTGCCCACCAGGAAAATTCCGCCAAAGCGCAGTGGGTGGTAGGTTCAATGTCCTGGGCACCATGCCCAGCCTGCAGGGGCGAGGTCGCGGTGACCCTCTGCGCAAAGCCCCCGGCTTGAGCCCCCACTGCGCTAAATCTGGCACGAGAATCTCCCGGGCAGTACTCAATCTAGAGGGCTACGAGGCAGAGGGCTCCCCTTCTCGGCTGGCTTGGGTTTCTGGGCTCGGGGAGCGCAGATCAGCGCCCGGGCAAGCTCAGGGAGCCCCGCTGGCCGTCGTGCGCCGCCACCTGGCCAATACCTTAACCCGTGTTTCCCCGTCAGAGCGCTGGAGGAGAGCTGATGCTCGGGTAACAGTCCCCTTGCCCAGACCCCAAAGCGCCCCCAAAGCAGGACAGCCCTGTTCCATCCTCTCCAGAAGGGAGCCTGAAGCCAAGCCACTCTGACAGATTTTTCTCGAGAGCCTGACCAACAGGGACGGAGTCTGCCAGCCTCGCGGAGCGGGCCAGAGGGACTGAGCGAGACGCGGCCGCCGCGGGATGGAGCCCGGGAGCCCAGGCCGGGAGAAGCTGGTGGCACCGGGCTCCGCGCACCCGGGTCTCTACGGCGATGGCTCCGTCCCACCCCGCAAACATCCACGCCCGCGAGGCACGATTCTCCTATTTTTAAATCGTGTATTTCTAATAAAGTAGAAAAATAAGCCAAGTCCTGGAGGAGGGCGGCTGCGCTGGACAGCTCCACGGGGCCCCTCGACCATTCATTCTCCACATCCACCACGGCCGCCCACGGCGGGGCGAGAAGTTAGGAACTTCGAGCCCGGATCCTGGAGCGCACGGGGAGTGACTCGCTTCTCTTTTAACTTCGGGAGCTGGGGTCGCCGGCGAGGGCAAGAGCTGTGTGAGAAGAACCAGGCCACCCAGTGGGCTGCCTGACGTCCTGGACTCCCCACATACAAGGGGAATGCACTCTGCTGCGCGACTCCTCGAAGCTAAGCGCGCGTGGACCGGCCGGGGATCAGTGGCGCGAGACGCACTCGGCCAGGGCTCGGACCCGCACGTGTCCCCGCGCACCCCGGAGGCTTGGGCGCAGGAGTCCCCGGCTTCCCGGGCTGGGCGCTCTCCCCGGGACACCCGCGCCGGCCGCCGCTCTCGGGTCTCCCCCGCACGTGGAGGCGCCGCGGACGCTGCGTCCTGATTGCGGCCGGAGAGCGCATGCCTGCCCACGCCGGGATGCTCCGCGCGCCGCCCGGACCCCCCACCATTCAACGCCTCTCTGCGCCAAACTCGGCTTCCGCAGCCCGGAACCCAGCTGGCTGCGCCGCCGGGGACCCACGGAGCAGGTGGAAAGTTAGTCTCGGGGCTGCAGAGCCCCCTCCCCAGCCCTGGGACCCACACCACCGCCTCCTGGCGTCGCCGGCGCTCCGGAGCTCCGCGTCCAGGCGGACCCCACCCAACCACCTACCTGCTCCGGCGGCCCTCCCAGGGCTCGCCAGCTGGTCGCGCGATCTGGTCCTCCTGAGCCCGAGCCGCCGCGATCGCCGGGCCGGGCGCAGGAGCCACGAGCAGCTGGAGCCGGGCAGCGGGCGGCGGGCGAGTGCGTGAGCCGGAGCTGCTGGAGCCGGCGCCGCCGCGAGCCACCCCCACCCCGAGCTCGGCCCCTCCCTCCGCCGAGCCGCCCTCCTCCCCGCGCGCCGCTCCCGCCCTCCTGCCCCCCACCCCTTCTTCCTCCCGTCTCCCTCTTTGGTCCTTTCAGACCCTGCTTCACGCGCGCGCGCGCTCTTTTTCCTGTCTCTCTCTTTGGCTCTCCTTTGGATTCCTTTTTCTCTGATCCACCTCTTTCCAGCGTCCCTTCTCCCCTCCCCCTATCATCCTTTCTGCTCTCTCTTTTCTCTATTTCTCTTTTCTGTCTCCTTCTCACCTCGCGTCTCTGCTCCCCCTGCGGGCCCACTCCCTCTCCAAGAGAGATGGGGTGGGGTCCCACGAGGGCCGAAGGAGACCAGGGCCTTTTAACAAGCCAGGGACAGAGGGACGGGCCAGGGCTGGACCTCCATAAACATCTGGACTGGATTCGAGGCATTAAGCAAAGAACTCAGTGGCAAGACCAAGCTGGGCTGAGTGACACCTGATGGGAGGAGGAAACTGAGGCCCAGAGAGCAAGGAGCTTGCCTTGCTGAGGTCGCGGCAGGGGCAGGGCCCACGCTACAGCCTCATGGGGTTGTGCAGGGTCCAGAGCCAGGGACCTCCCCGCAGCAGGGCTCCTTAGGTCCTGGATGGCTGCAGCACTCCCAAGGGAAGAACGCCTGGCCATCACCTCCTGCACCCCTGCACCTGCGGGGCGCGCTCATTCCGGCAGGGGGGGCTCATAGGGCACAGAATTTAAGGGGGCGCTCAGCGTCAAGGCCATGCAAGTGCAGCTTCTGCACCTAAGAATGAGCACCTGCTTAAATTCAGCACCTGGGAGTCTCCTTGCCCCAGCCTAGCCTTGGCTCCTGGGCAGACTTTGGGGCTGCCCTTCACAGCTGTCTGACCTGGCACGCAATTCCCCACCTGAGCAGGAAAGGGCTGGGTTAGATACTCTTTAGGGCTTCTCCAGCAGTGGATATCATAGATGCCATGTTCCGCCACTTGGTAACCTCTCTAGCCTCAGTTTCCTTACCTGTAAAATGGGAACAGTAACAGTACTGTGAGCCCTTTGAGAATTAAACCAAATAATTCACCAAAGCTCAGCTCCAGGCACATAGGAGCACTTGGCAACTGTTACCGATTAATATTAAACAGGTGGGTTTTGCATATCTTCTCCCTGACATTTGCCTTTGGGTTGTAAGTTCCACTTCCCCCCATGCCGTCCTTCCACTTATAACTCCAGGGGTGGGGCAGGCCTTCCTGCATAACCAGCTCTACCCCCCATGTGTCGCTGCCTGTGCTAGGGACTGCCCGGTCTTCTGCCATACTCTAAAAAGCCACATAAAGCTGCACCTTCCCCACCCAGATGGCAAGGCTCCAAGAACACACATCCTGACAGAGCCAGAAACACTTTTAGCAAATCTCCCTGAGAGTCAGCAAGGGGTCACACTGGAGCCCATGCGCCATCACTCACTCGCTGGCCTCAGAGCCTACATTTGGGGGATGCCACTTTACACGTTCCTTGTCCATGTCCAGCCCAGCTGCACTGAGGGTTTCCTTTGGTTTATTATTTTGGTTCTGAGGATGGAACCCAGGGCACTCTACCACTGAGCTACATTCCCCAGCCCCTTCTCATTTTTATTTTGAGACAGAGTCTCACTAAATTGCCCAGGCTGTGCTCAAACTTTCAATCATCCTGCCTCATCCTCCCAAATCTTCCCTGGGATTACAGGTGGTGCCACGTTACTCACCTTTTTTTGGAAGTTGTAACATCTAAATCCATGCCACTCACCGAAGAGCATAATCTGAGATGAAAGTATACCTCACCCTGGACTCAATCGCTGATAACACACATACACATACACACACACACACACACACACACACACACACACACAGCCCACCATTCTGAGGTATAAATCCTGCTATCAAAATATTTACACATCAGGGCTGGGGATTTAGCTCAGTGGTTCTGCCACCTGCCTTGCAAGTGCAAGGTCCTGAATTCAATCTCTGGTACAAAAAAAAAAAATTTACACTCCAGCCAAGTGTGGTGGTGCACACCTGTAATCCCAGCACTCAGGAGGCTGAGGCAGGAGGATCATGAGTTTAAGGCCAGCCTGGGCTACACAGCAGACCCTGTCTCCAAAAACAAAACAAAGCAAGAACAAACCTGCACTCTGACGGGCCAAGAAGATACATGGTAAAGAACACAGAGAGGTGACCAAGAAAGGCCTGGGAGATGCCCATGACCAAACCCATGCCTGCTCCACTTGTCAGCTCTGTGACCACCTTGGAGGCCATTTCTGCCCCGTGCACACTTCTGCCAGGACAGCAGGATTACTAGTTCTGGTGACCCAGCTGGGAGGAGCCTAGGAATGAGTTGCCTTGCCGGTGGGCCAGGGCCCAGGCAGAAAGCTGCACCCCTTCCCTCCGCCAGGAGCAAGGGGATTCCCTCTCTCCTGCCCTCCCTGCCTCTCATGTTGGGGAACCACCTTTCTCTGCTTCTTCTGCAGAGCCAGGCTCAAAGCCACAGAGGACTCCCAGGGATGGCTGGGGTTTATTAAGTGCAGGGAAAATTCCAGAAACTTTAGGCAGAACAGGATGTAGTAGAGTGCCTGGGTGAAATGTCTGTCTCTGGCCAGGCCCTAAGGCCTTTACAGCCCTGTCCTGTTAACCTTCAGATCTACTGCAAAGCCTGTGGTAGGGCCCTGCCTTGTCAAAGGAATATCCAAAGGAAGCCAGGCCTGGTGGCACATGCCTGTAATGCCAGCACTAGGAAGGCTGAAGCAGGAGGACACCTTCAAGTTCCAGGCCAGTCTGGGCTACATAGTGAATTAGGCCCCTGAAGTGCATTGCAAGGGTCTGGGGATTTAGCTCAGTGGTTCTGCTGCCTGCCCCGAAAGGGAAAGGACCTGAGTTCCATCCCAGGTACAAACAAAACAACAATAAATAAATCAATAAATCAATAAATAAATAAATAAATAAAATGAAGTGCATAGCAAGACTCTGTCTCAGAATAAAACAACAACAACAAAAAAAACAGGCATGGTGGCAAACAACTATAATCCCCAGCACTAGGAAGGAACTCACTTCAAGTTCAAGGCCATTGTGGACTACATAGTGAGTTCAAGGCCAGGCTGAACTGCATAGAAAGATCCTGTCTCAAAAAAAAAAAAAGGATGTGCAAAGTATCAACAGTTTATTAATCAGGTAGACACTGATGGCATTTAAACCTCACAGCAATCCTGCATAGCAGGCACTGTCCTCTGTTTACACAGGGGAAACTGAAGATTCAAGAGGCTAACTTAGCTGCTTCCCACACCCTTTTATTTTTCATTTGGGAACTGAGTCTCCCCAGGTTGCCCAATCTGGGCATGCATGCCTGTAATCCCAGCACTCTGGGAGGCTGAGGCAGGAGGATTGCAAGTTTGAGCCCAGTGTGGGGAACTTAGCAAAATATATAAATAGGGTGTCAGAGATGTAGCTCAGTGCAAAGGCCCTGGGTTCAATCCCCAGCGCCAATCAATAAATGAATGAATGGTAATTTACCAGATAAAGCCACATAACCAGTAAGCAACAGAATCTGAACTTGAACAAACCCAAGCTTGTTCAAAGTTCTTTCCTGGATACTGGGGTGTCTTGCACTGATTGGCTGGGGACCAGGGCCCAAACCCAAGGAGCCCTCTCCCTGACTGTGCCTGCTCCAGCACAACCTTCAGCAGGGTGACCTTGAAACCACCTCAGTATGGGGACCAAGGCATTCCCGTTCCTGGGAAACTCCCAAGGCCCAGGGTCTAAGGCAGTGGTGGTGAACTCATGGCACGTGCCACAGAGGGCTGTTTATATCACTGAAAGCTCTAAAAGGTTCATCATCCCTGGTCTAAGGTAACCCACGTGTCACACTGACACGTCTGCAGGTGCCTGGTGCACAGTCCTACCCGACACACCTGTGCACACACCAGCAAGCCACAATTCCCACCCCCACACACTGCCACTTCCACCTCCCTTAAAAACAGGGCGGGGGAGGTGAGGGCCAGAAGGGAGCCCCGTGGGAAGACTTTCCACAAGCTTTTTATGAAGCCACAACCACCAATCGAAGTCTTGATTAACTTAGTTGTATTTATTAAATTGTGTTCAATATTTAATAGCTTTGAATATGGATTGAATATATAATGAGATCGGTGGAGCTTATTTGTGTGTAGCCGTCAGAAGTAGCGATTGCTTGGAATTGAAAATTGAGTATGTGACTCATTCTCAGAACCTAGAGCTGGAGAGCGCCACTGTACATTTTCTGAGTTTGTTTCAATGATAGTTTATTGTTATGACATTATTAGGTATTATTTATTGGGATGCGCCACTATTGTAACCTACGTTATTACACAGTCTGAGAAATGTGGTGTCTAGACAGAATTTCCTTGCATCTAGGGAAAACTGGATTGGGTCTAGATCTCCCTCTGTCATGTTTACCAGGGAAAGGGGCCAAATATGATACTAGAAATTCATTCTTTTGTTTTCAGTACTGAAAATTGGACCCAGGACCTTCACACTAAGCTATATCCCCAGCCCTTTCTTTAGTCTTTATTTTGAGACAGGGTCTCACTAAGTCACTAAATTGCCCAGGCTGGGTTTGAACTTGTAATCCTCCTGCCTCAGCCTCCAAGAGTGTAAAGATTATAATTGTATACCACCATGGGCCGGGGATTTAGCTCAGTGGTGCCGGCGCCTGCCTCGCAAGTGCAAGGTCCCGAGTTCAATCCCCAGTACCAAAAAACAAACAAAAAAGATATCTTTAGCCAGGGATTTAGCCTAGTGGTTCCGCTGCCTAACTCGAAAGCGCAAGGTCCTGAGTTCAATCCCCAGTACCAAAACAAAAAAAAACAAACAATTTTGGGCTGGGGATTTAGCTCAGTGTTCCGCTGCCTGCCCTGCAAGCAAAAAGACCTGAGTTCAATCCCTGGTACCAAAAAGATAAAATAAAATAAATAATTGTAC